GGGGGGCGGGGGTTGCAACAGTCATTTTTCTTTCTTTTTTTAAGTGAGTAAAGGGGTAGGAGTGCTAACTAGACCATTCCTCAACTCTATCTACTGGAGTTTATTTATAATTGTTCGATTCCCCCCCCCTTTTTAAGAATAGGTGATTAATAAAACCCAAGAGTCACAACCCTGGGAAAAAAAAAGAAGATATAGACAAGGATTTCATATTTCTAGCTTATATTATTAATTTCATAATTTTATTTTGTGTGGCACTGTATTATAGGTCTTATTTAAATGGTAATGTTAATATTTCCAGTTATAATTACTAATTTATGAAAATATTGCTACCTTAACTGTAAAATTCATCAAATATATTTTACAACATCATTTCTTTACTCTGGGGTCCAGGGGAAGAGAGTGCATGAATGATTATGGAAAATATTTAGTAAAATTTATTTTACTGCCAATTTTACTGGAAAAGATAGTTCCCACGCCATCATGTCAACTCAGACTGATGATAACCCTAACAGGATCGAGTAGAACTGCTCCCCAGGGCTTCTATGACTGTCAATCTTTATGGAAACAGACTGCCTCACTGTGGGCTTGAATCTGTGGCCTTTCATTTAGCAGCCCAATCGTAGCAGCCCAAAGGCCATCTATCTGTATTCATGTGATTTAAAAAGTAACAAAAGTGTCATATAATAAAGGAACAGATACTTACTAGGCAGGAGAGAGACCATGATCATGAAGGTGGTTTTCCCAGGGCGAGGCTTATCCACTGTGCTCTGGATGTGCTGACTCCTGCGATTTCCCCGTATGTGGGGGACTTGTGCGTAACTGTGGTAGTGGGGCCTGCGTTCACACTTTCCCCTATTTTAAAAGAAACACAAAGAAATAACTATTTATGGTCTATTCCTATGCAATGGAACACTGCCAACCATTAGAAATTGTATTCAAAATAAGATATGATGAAATGTTCACAATATAGTATTAAGAAGTGAAACATAAAAATGTGTAAGTAGAGAATTCCAATTTTATAACACACACACACACTCTCTCTCTCTCTGTCTCTCTGTTAGGGTTATCATCAGTCTGAGTTGATGTGATGGTGTGGGGATGAATGTCATGGCACACAACAATAATAAAATAACAACCTAACAAACATTCTGATACTATAGGACCACACAACAAATTACTGTCAGTGATTATGTCTGGCAGTGGCAGAAAGGAGGGAGATGAACAGTAATTATAAAGCCTTTCCCTGTTTGTTCTCTTTTTAAATCATGTTTCAGTCGTTCACTAGAAAAATCAGAAAAAAGGTATGTTTGAAAGTCAATAAACCTCAACAAAAATGTGTAACAGTTATATATTTAGAAATGTACCATTTTCCCTGTTTATTTACTTCATATATTTTCAATGTATTTGTTACTCTCTAGAATTTCTTGATGGAAAAGAAATTAAAAAAATGGAAAGACAATTTCTAATGAACTGGAAAGCATCCAAAGAGGCCAAGAAAAAAAAGAAAAAGAGTCCAAAGAGTGAGAACACAAGCAGCGTAAGCACAAGCAAGCAGGCCGGCCAGCCGTAGCTCACCTACCACGGACAGGGAACCTCCCAGCAACAGCGAAACGCCAGGAAAGGAAGGGGGTTTATGGAAAGTTTTTCTTTTATTTTCACTTATGTAAATGAGTGCATAAAGAGAAATAGAATTCCTTGGATATTTTTCCTAAATATCATCACTATAAACTAAAGTCGTTTCATTCCTGCTGGTTATGATTCTGTCAAGGATGCGCATTAATAATGTTGTAATGCACTTTAAAAATATCTTAGACATAGAGAATGAGGGGAAATGCTCATTTTATATCTGGGGACTATAAGTACTGTATTATAATGTAAACTGTGAAAGCCACGTCACACACTTGTATTTAGAAATAGTGCAATAATCAGATCTTTCACAAGGATGAAAAGGAGAACACATCATGACCACATGGAAGCATTGTTTGGCTGGTTTGTTCTCCCTCATCCAGCACCAGAACATTCTGGTTACAATAGATCGGAACTTGTGTCATGCTGAACACACTAAACATGCTGGTCCCACTCTTGTACCTCAGTTTTGCTGAGCGTAATGTGCAATAAAATATTTATCATATAACATCCTGTAACTGGCTTCACAGATTGTGTACCCTACAAAGGAGGCCTAATGATGTAGAGCTCAAAGAGTTGTACTGCAAACTGAAAGGCCTGCAGTTTGAACCCTTGATTCACTCTGAGAGAGAGAGATGTGTTAGTTGAGCTTCTGCAGTGATTTACAGCCTCTGATCTGGAAGACCACTTGAAGTAGGAATCACTAGTCTGTTATCTGTAACACTGGAGTAAGCCCCTTCTTCCTTTTGAGTTAATATCTCAGTGGGGTTAGGTGATGGCAATAGGGTCAGGCAGCTAGAACAGTGAGGCTTTATGTGGTGTAATAACAACTGACCCCAGAAACTGGGCCACTCCAAGAATTCTGACCAGGAGGCTGAGGTGAGGAGGGGCAGAGGAGGAAAGGCCTGAAACTAAGGACTTTGCCACATCCAGTCCACGGAACTGGAACTGTATCAAATATATAGTAGAGTAGGATTTTCTTAGCTGACAGCATACTCATACATGATAACTATTGACAACATCAATCTCTTAAGGTCTGAAATTTCGAAAATAATCAAGCACACCTTTTCCTCCACTGCTTATTCCTGGTTTTGAGGGGCAGAACCTGACCCCAGAAAAGATCAGTATTTTAAATATTTTCACAAAGACACCAGAGTGTCTTACTAATACTGGAGAACTTCAAGAATTTCACTTTAATCCTCTCAGGAACTTGAGCCTATTCTAAAAGTAACATCATTTTCAGCCTAGAGAAATTGCAAATAATTTTCCTAACTCAAGTACAATTAGATTCATTTTTTTTCTTTTTTTCCCCACTTCTCAAATGCAGTTCAACAAAATTATTATTATGACTTATGCCTTATAATTATAATTTTAAAAGTGCACTGTCTTTTAATTTTCTGAATTAAATTCTTATTTAATATCTTTATAACCTAATTTGACCTCCAATTCAAGACTCAAACAGTTTTCAACTTAAGTAATTCAGTCTTTTTCTTCAAAAATATTATTGCATGGAAGCATCTTATTGTGGATGCTACTAGACTGTCAATAATTTGAAAGGGTAAGCAGTGGGTTCAAAAGGGTAGGGGGAAAGGGGAGATAGGAAAGCCAGAAATTTCTGTGACAAACATTGTAGATATTTGCTCAAATTGTTGCATTTCATTGCTCAAGTTGTTGCATTTCATCTTTACAACCTGCATGAGAAGGGGAGAAATTATTGTACCCATCTTACAGATGAGAAAACAATTTTAAAATCTTGATGTAACATGTATAAGGTCACAAAGCTATAGTGCTGGCTTCTAGTCACCACTGTAGTGATCGCTGGCAGAATAATGTTGGACTACAAGGGAATGCTGCATACAAGCGAAGCACTTAGCTAAACTAGCAAAGGCTGGCAGTTCAAGTCTACCCAGAGCTAGCACAGAATAAAGGCCTAGAAACCTTCTTAAAATAAGCCATTGAAAATCCTATGGCACATAGTTCTACTCCAACACATAGAAAGTCTATTAAGCCAGAATCTTCTTCATGATAAAACTTTTCTTTATAAAGACAATACTGTCTGCTTTACTTAGAAATTTACTCATTTCTAAGAATTTAGGAAAATCTGTAAATGTGTAAAAATTTTATGTTGTTGTTATTGTTATGTGCCATCGAGTCGCTTGCGACTTATAGTGACCCTATATACAACAGCCCTAAACTCTGCGCTGTCCTGTGCCAATTGCACTGTTTCTGACACACTCATCCCGATTACCCCAGTCACTGAATCAATCCACCTCATAGAGGGTCTTCCCCTTCTG